TGCAGGAGATGTGTCAGGGCAGGCTCAGCAGTGAGCGGGGTGGCGGGCTCTCCTGAGAGACAGAGTGGACTGAGTGGTGAGACTGGCTCTGAAAACTCGAGCTCTGGGTGGACACAGGCGGCGCTGAAGCTGAGACTCCTTTAAGGCACAGAGCTGGGCGCAGGGACGCTATCACTTGGGAGTCCTTTGCCTCCCTCCCAAGTGGCACTGTACCCCATCTGGAAATGTGGCAGGGGTCTCCTCGTCACAATGACTGAAGACACGGCTGGGCTGGCGGGCTCGGTTGCATTCTTGGCACTGCCCACAGAGCAGGGCATTGTCCTGCCCGCAGAGCACTGTGCAGAGCAGTCATGGGTGGCTGAGCTGGCCCAACATGGAGAAGGAGAGAAGCCAGTGTGTTTCCATGGAAGCAGCCCCAAGATGGGGCATAAGCACCACCAGCAGAGGCCTGTGCTGGCCTGGACCCTTGCAGGCCTTCTCAGGTGTGGTCCCCTCATTCCAGCACCTCCATGAGGTTCCCAGTGGGGATTTGATTGCACTGTGTAGCCCAGGCTGGCCTCAAACTCATGGCAATCCTCCTGCCTCAGCCTCCTGAGTACCAGGATCATAGGTGTATGCCACCACCATGCCTGGCTCAACCCTTGAGGCAGGTGGGCTCTCAGTGAGCCGGAGATAGCAACAGGAAGGAACAGTCCCAGGAAAGCATTGGGGAGGCAGAAATGAAACCCACATTTCCTGAGCCAAATACATTAAGTCGGTAGTGGCAGCTTTGGGAACCTAGGCCAGGCTAGATGTGAATTACAGATGAGACACAGGGAAGAGAGAGAACTGGAAAGTTTTCCCTTCTGAGAGGAGAACACCAGCCCCCAAGCATTAAACATCGTCCTCTCCTGTGTGGACCAGGGCAGATCCACCGGTTAAGGTCATGGGGCAAACCCGGTAGGCCCGGGTGGGCGTGGGGGGAAGCTGCCTGCCTCTGGTCAGGCCCGGCGTCCAGGGCCAATGCCACTGGGCCACGTGGCTCCAGAGCAGGAGGAGACCCAGCCTCAGTCCAGCTCACAGAGTACGGTGGCTCTTCCCGTGGTCACCTGGACTCCAGCAGGGCCGGACCCCCAGCTGCGGAGTAGCTGCATGGGGACGCACTTGAATGGGTCAAAACTGGTGATTTTCCTCTGTAACACGGAGCAAGAGACAAACACCTGAGATCTAATGCCCACCCCTACCATTTTAGATAGAGAAAGCTAGGGACTTCCAGGGGCAGAGGTACCCAGGACGGTGAGGAGAAGCCTAGAGCCTCTCAGTTTGAGGGGTCAGCTCGCTGCAGACCTCTTGCGGCGGGCACCGTCCTGTGGACAAAGCCATGTGGTCTGAGCGGGGTTGAGTTCCAGCTTTGGTGCCACCGTGGGTTGTGGGACCCAGCAAATTACTTCCTGCTTTGAATTCCTGGTCTTGAGCAGGGAGAGTATTAGCGGGAGGATCAGAGGACCTCGTGCCTATGAAAGAGGCCAGGCATGGGCCGTGCCCACTGGGACCCAACTCAGACCTCTCCACAGGAAGAGATGGATGGAGATCGGGACCTTCAAACACGGACAGTTCTCGGCCAGGCGGCCCCTTGCATTCCACTGTAAATAGCTTACTCTATGTTTCTTGGTCAGTCTTGAGAAATCCAGGAGTTGCTTTTCACTGGGAAATAAATTACTGGTCACGAGGTTGGGATGGAGAAAGTCAAATCTGTTTTTCTGCACAGAAGCTACTCAGTGTGGGGCGGGCTGTCCCTGTCGTGTCCTCTGTTTAGCCAGACTGGTGAGGGTCCTGACCGAGGGATCAGCGGATCGAGTGCCCCCCGCGTGCCGGGTGCCTCCGAGCTGTCTGTGAGGGGGGTCAATCTTACTTTTACTTCCAACCCACTCGAACTAATGTTTGCCAGCTGCATGGGCATGGCAACAGTTGTAACTGCTCCATTGTGCACTGTGTCACTAATCAGCAAAGGTACGTGGCTCCCTGCTTCCCGAAAACCAGCTCTTCCGGCTCTGGCCCAGCATTCGGACCTGAAACAACCCCGCCAGCCGGCCCGGCTCCTGAGCACTTTGCCGGGGAGGTAGAGGTTTGTGCTGTGGTTTGCTCTGAGAGTAGTGAAGGTGAAGGAAAAATCATTTGACCGATGGCTGGTGTTGCTTGGTTATGAAGGGAAGAGAAAATGTGTACCAGTGTGAAACTGAGACAACGTTAATCAGCAGAACTGCGTGAGGATTTTTTGTTGTTGTTGTTTTTTTTGTTGTTTTTTTTTTTTTTGGTACCAGGGATCGAACTCAGGTCCTTGCGCTTGCCAGGCAGGTGGAGAACCACTGAGCTAAATCCCTGGCCCTAGTGAGGATATTTTTTAAAAAAACAAGAGAACCCTATGTGCAGCACAGCACATGAAAATGTCCAATCCCGGCCCTGTGTGCTGCACTGCTAACATCTCGGATGGGGAGAAGGGACTTGTATGACCAGGCTCATGAATGCACAGCAGCGCCAATGCTCCCGCAAACCCAGGCCCCTGCCGTGCTCGAAAAGTGCCCCAACCCTGAGCCACGTTTCAGCCCGCCTCAGCCTCATGCCCTTTCCCGGGTTAGCTTTGTTACCAGGGGCCCAGCGGCTACTCCTGCGGCACCAGCATCGGGTTACAGCGCCCTGCTGGTCACTAAGGAGCCACAGACACTCCTGGGTGGGCAGCGGCGTGGCTCTGGAGGTCGGCTCCCTGGGAGTGAAAGCAGAGCAGCCAGCTCCTTCGGAAAAGCCTGGGTACGGACCTGGGATTTAGCTCAGTTGTTCTGCCTCCTGCCTCATCAAGCACAAGGGCCCGAGTTCAATCCCCGGTACCAAAAAGAAAAAAAAAAGGCTGGGTGGTAGCAAACAGCCCAAAGGGAGGCCTGTCTTCTCTTTAAGTAAATGGTGTTTCAACAGGGAGACAAACCCAAACCAGATCAGTCACTTCAAGTTCTAAACAAGAAATGAAACCCAGCAAAGTTCGCCTCTGCATCTCTGCCCACAGCTACCTAAAGGCAGGCAGGGTCCTTGCCTGAAAGACTGGAGCCACAAAGCTCACATTTTCTCTCAAAGCTACAGAAGCAGGAAACATCACCTACAGGATTTTAACATTTTGGTAAAGTAGCCCTGTTGGAGGGGAGAAACTACAATTTTGTGTTATGTGTGTGAAGGGATTTTCTCTTTTAAAATTACTCAGCAAGTCACATGTGGGAGTGCGTGCCTGTAATCCTAGTACTTAGGAGGCTGAATCAGGACAGTCATGAATACGAGGCCATACTGGGCAACTCTGCAACTTAGTGAGATCCTGTCTCAAAATAAGAAGGATCTGGGGGTGCAGCTCCGTGGTCAAACACACTTGGCACCGTGTTTCAGAGTCTTTAGCATGGCTATCAAAGCTGGCAATTTTCCTAAAACCAGACTTACACTAAGAACATGATTTACTCGGGAAAATAAGTGCAGATTTCACAAAATGATATTTGGCTCAAGGAGTTTAAAAACCACGCACATATTCAGTTACACCGCTGAGCGCCCAGAGTGTTCGTTCACGTGGGTGCGGGAGGGGTGGAGAATGGAGCTCTGGTCTTTGTGCTCCTGCCCAGTACAGGAGCATTAGTAGGACAGCGGCAGGTCGTATTCTTAGCTTCCGGGTCAGGAGGGAGCTTCCGCATGTTTCCCGCCGCTGAGAATGAAATTGTCCTTCACACGCGCTGTGCGGATTTGTACCAGGTGGGCGGGGGGTGGCCTTCAGGGGAAAGGAAGAGATCTCTTTCTAGGCTGGCGACCTCAGGGAAGGCGCCTCGCAGGAAGTGACACCACAGAGCCAGTCTCAGGGCTATGACTGCCCACGGACACTCCACCTTGATGTCCCCAGACACCTCAGTCGCCCTGAGTTCCCACAGGACTTAGGGGTGTGGGGGCTCGGGGTCTCACTATATAGTTCAGGCTCGCCCTGAACTTACTATGTAGCACAGGCCTGGAACATGATCCTCTCGCCTCAGCCTCCCGAGTGCAGGAGTCACAGGTGTGTGCTGCCATGCCCAACTTTCTGGGGGATCTTGAAGGACTGGTAAATCTTCCAGGGGCAGGGGGCCTGCTCTGGGAGGGGTATAGGGTTTTCCAGGGCCACTGGGGACTGTAAACAGATTTGCAGTTTAGAAATACCGTTATCAGCAAAGCAAAGGCTGGATGGAACCAGCGCCAGCAGAGGACAAACTTCCTGGGCTTTGAGGGCTCAGCCAAACCTGGGCTTTGACCCTGTGTGCCAGGACTGGCGGCAGGAACAAAGCCCGCTGGGAGAAAACGGTCAGCGGGAGCCTTCAGGTTCTCCTCCCCCTCTAAACGCCCTTCAAGGGCTCAAGTTCAGGGAGGACGGAGGGGATGGGAAGCCGAAATAGGGTCTCCTGCTCTGTCAGCATGCGGGGCTGCCTGTGTAGCATCGCAGGGGCCTGGCGTGGGGACCTGAGGTCCACACTGTCCTCCCTCCTGTCCTGCTGCTGTCCGTCCTGCTAAGGCAGTGGGTGCGGCTTCATCCTCTTTGCACAGTTTATAGAAGAAGCAAGCTAAAAACACGGCTGGAAACACAAATGGTGGTGCAGGCCTGGGATCCCAGCCCTTGGGAGGCTGAGGCAAGAGGATTCCCGCAAGCTGGAGGCCAGGCTGGGCTACATACGGAGTTCAGTACAGTCTGAGCTACACAGTGAGACTGTGACTCAACAAAACAAAAAACATCAGAAATCTTGCTTCACTTCCTTCCAAATCCCAGCCTTTTCATGTGCAGTCAGATTTCCTTAAAGCTTCCCCCCAACAGTGTATGGACAAAGTCCCTTTGCAAAAGGACGGGGTCAGCTAAAGCTGTGCCACCCAGTGGTATAACCATGGAAACAACTTGATTTTTGTTTTTCTTATGTAACGCCAGCGGACTTAGTTCTTTTGGGTCGGGCCGTGCTTTTAGGATTGATTATCTGGGTGCTATGGAGGGGGAAGCCGAGGGCACCAAGGCTGTGTCACTGCCCAGTGCAGCACATGGCAGCGATTCCAAAGGTCTCCAGTGCCAGGGGGCTGCGACTCAGCAGGATGTGGTGAAGGCTGGGAAAGCCAGGCCGCAGCTGGGAGGTGCACAGTGGGGCTCCCTGGGGCGCATCTGTCTGGGCAGGCAAGACGGTATCAGGAGGAGAGAAGCCCGGGTGCCCGCATGCCTGGAGCGCTTCCTGGAGGAGGCCGCTGGGCCCTGCGGCTGGGGGCTGGAGGGGACTCAGGAAAAGGGCGGAGCACCAGCCTCAGACCCAGAGGACCGCACCCAGCCCCTGCCCCCCACCCCTAAGCATCACCAAGGCAAAGAAACATACCCCGTTCCGGCACTTGTGGGAATGAAACATGAAAGGGGGCGAGCTTGAGCGGGGGGAGGAACTTGGTGTGCGGAGCTGGGTCCTGAACCCAGGACCTCGCCCTGCGAGGGGGGTGCCCTGTCCTGAGCCACACGCCCGGCTCCAGGCCCTGGGAGAGTTCAGGCAGGATGGATGAGGGCATCAGCCACCCTGGACCCCGAGACGGATGGAGAGAGGGAGACAGGATCACGCCAGCGCCCCATCTAGGAGATACCATAAAGGGCGTGCGTGTCGTGGCTAAGCCGCGGGGCCTGTGAGCGCAGTGTCCCCTGGTGTCAGCACAGTGCCCTCCGGATAGGAGCTTTTTCAGAAGGGCGGGCGCTGGTCTCGCGCTGGTCTCTGCCCCAAGGCTCCCCGGGTGCTCCTGGCTGCCGCTCTGAGCAGCGAGCACCCTGGAGCCTGACGGTGAACACTGGCGCAGGTGACACACAGTCAGGCTTCAGCCTCAGCTCACTTGGGGTTTACAGTTGGACCCAGGGTGACACAGCTGTGCTCAGGGTGCCTGATGTCTAATGTCAGATGTGGAGCCAGCCACTTCTTTGAGGAAGGTGTTGGGGGCAGCTCTGCTAAAGCTGTCCATTTCTGGGTGGATTCTCGTCCTCCTTTGACCCCACCTTTAAATTATTTAAATTGAAAAAAAAGCTGCCTCAAGTGCTTTCCCGAAACATCAGACTGCCCTCTTCTCCTCTCCCCTCCCCTCTCTTCTTTCATTTATTTGGAGATGGGCTCTCACTGTTACAGCCTGGCCTTGAACTCCCAGGCTTGAGAAAGCTTCCTGCCTCAGCCTCCCAAGCATCTGGGACCATAGGCACATGTCACCAGGCCCAGCAACCCAGGGGCTGCTTTGGGCACAGCTCCAACCATTTACTGCCTGAGCTGTACGGTGGGCAGTGTGTTCTGCCTACAGCAAAGGAGATAATGGAATGTAGCCATGTAGGGGTGTTGGGAGGGTTAAATGAGATGGTGCTGTGAAGTACTTGGCACACAACACCTGACACCAAAGCCCTGTTGCCCAGTGCCAGCCATGAACACTAGCAATCATAGTTGCTTAGGCTTTTTTTCATTGGAGGGGTTCAAATAGCCCTGTGCTTCCTCTGTGGAGAGGGCTACTAATTGGAAGTACTCTTTGGGAGAGAGTTATTTTGGAGACCCATCACCTGGGTCTGACACTGGCCCCTGTATCTGGTGCTGAAGAGCTAGTGGGCTTGGTTTTCGGGCCGGGCACAGCGGTGCATGCTTGTAATTGCAGCTAATCAGGAGGCTGAGGGAGGAGGATCCAGAGTTCAAGATCAGCCTGGGCAATTTAACAAGACCCTGTCTTAAAGTAAAAAAAGTTGGTGGATGTAGCTCAGCTCTTGCCAAGCATACATGAAGCCCTGGGATTGATCCCTAGCGTGGTCTCAGGTATCCGGGGCTTTATTTTCTTGTTCTCTAGCGTGTACAGTGTGGCGGGTGAGTGCCAGGGCTGGGCTGCTTTGGGAGCAAAAGCTCTGAGCCGTGCCTTGTCTCTGGGAACTCTGCATGGGGCTCACTATCCTCCCTCATCAGGGCAACAGCACTTTAAGTTGCCCGGAGGAGAAAACGAGCTGCATCTTGGGGTGCAGCAGGGACAGCGGAAACCAGCGTGTCTCAGATGCACCAGTGCTGCCATGTTGGCCATGGCCTCTGACCCCCATGCCTTGGGGTAGCCCATCGGGGCTGCGGTGCAGACACAGCCTGCACACTGCTGCCCCCAGCAGCTCCTGTGGCCCTTTCCACCCCTTCCCTCCTGCACTGCCCTCAAGTAACCCAAGGAACACTGGCTACTGCCTCAGTGTGGCCAGAACTGTGCCCGGCCATTTGATGGGAAGCGAGCTTTGTAAGTGAATTCTGCTGCGACCGCCGCTGCTGCTGTGAGTACTAAAGCAGCTCAGATTGCTTTCTGAGCCTGCAAGAGTGGGTACAAGGCCGCCCCCACGGCATCTAAAGCAGAAGTCCCCTTGGCCTTTCCCCGGGGCATTGGCCACACCAGACAAACCACGTGTAAGAGTGCGTGCATCTTTGCAGGGCGCCAGGGACTCTGCCCGACGGGCAGCCCCGAGGTCCTTCCTGCCCCTGTGCACCTGCAGCTCACCTGCATCCGGGACTGGTGCATCTAGGGAGGGCACCACCGTCAGAGTCAACTCTGACCTGAGATTGTGCCCTGGGCTCTGGGGCGGTGGGCATCCCAGGCAGGGGCCAGGGAGAGTGTGGTGGCCACCGTGGCTGGACCACAGGCCGGGCAGGCTTTTCCAACCTCATAATCATGAGCCATCTCTGTCCATACCTGTGGGCAGCAGTGTACAGAGCTGGAGAGTTCCGAGAAGACATTTGGGGGGCGGTACCAGGGATGGAACTCCGGACCTTGCACTTGCAAGGCAGGCGGTGGCGCCACTGAGCTAAATTCCCAGCCCTGAGAAGACATTTTTATTTTGTTTGTTTTGTTTTTTGGTATCTGGGATGGGGCTCAAACTCGGGACATTGTGCTTGCAAGGCAGGCGGCAGAACCAATGAGCTAAATTCTCTGCCTGAGAAGACATTTGTAAATGACAGCCCACTTTAATTTTTCTTAAATGGAAAATGTCAGTGAGGCTAAATCCTGCCTCACACTTAATGGCCTCTTCTGTTTTGTCCCTTGTAGGAGAACTACCCCGTCCCTGAACCCGGCCCGCACGGTAGGTCCATGGGAGACAGAACTGGGTTTCCTTGCTCTCTATCCTGGAGACACATGCACCATTCCCCTCCTCCTTTCCTACTCTTACTGCGGTTGCTTCCATTAAGAAAAGAACAGGCCTGGGGATTTAGCTCAGTGGTTCCGTGCCTGCCTCGAAAGCACAAGGGCCCAAGTTCGATCCCTGGCACCAAAAATAAAAAACCCACAGGTGCTTTGGGACGCTGGGGCCAGCACATGGCAAATTCAAGTCCAGCCCAGGTAACTAACTCAGTGACTTGGTGAGATCTTGTCTCAAAATTTAAAAAAAGTAAAAAGGGCTGGGGATTTAGCTCAGTGGCGCTGTGCCAGCCTCACAAGTGCAAGGTCCTCAGTACAAAAAAAAAAAAAAAAAAAAGGCTGAGGATGTAGCTAAGTTTGAAGGCCCTGAATTCTGTCCCTGGTATTTTTTGTTTGTTTGTTTGAGTCTCAGTGTGTGGCTCAGGCTGGCCTTGAACTCTCTGCATGGCCCAGGCTGGCCTCCAACTTGTGGCAGTCCTCCTGCCTCAGCCTCCAGAGTGCTGGGATTACAGGCGTGCACCGTCATGCTTGGCATCAGTCCCCAGGATTACTGAGCCGTCCCAGGTCTCCATGGGAAATGTAGGGACCAATGACAGAGCTGTCCCTCTTGCATCCTGTGCCTGAGGGCCCTATGTGTTACACTGGGGAAACACTGAAAAGCAGTGAGTCCTCAGAGCTTAATCTTTTCATCAGCAAGGAGAGCACAGCCTGCACTTCCAGGAAGTCCGAGACCTGCAGGTCAGGGTGGCTCAGGAGCTGGAGGGCCCGCTGGAGCCCTAATCAGCCAGGCCCAGAGCGGCACCCTTTGCCCCAGTCCTGCGGGCCCTCGCTGGGCGGCAGGCAGCCGTCCTGGGCAGCCGTCCCGGGCCATGTCTGCCGAGGTCATGGCCCCCAGGAGCCTAGGGCAGACCTGTGCCCCGAAGAGCCGCTTCTTCCTCTGCAGGGGCGGTGGGCGGGCGGAGCGTGCAGCTCTTCGGACCGGCCACTCAGGTCCCCTTCCTGTCCTCTGTGGCTTCTTGGGCTGTGTCCCCCACCCCACACCCCAGCCCAGACTGCAGCCCCACGTGCGCATCAGGGTGAGGGCTCCGGGCTTTGCTACTCAAAGGTCAGTGCACTGTTGACCGAGGCCGATAAGACAAGAGCCTCACTATCTGTGGAGAGGGAACCAGGGTTACGCACTGTGCCCAGAATATCGCGTTTTGGAAGTGAGGCTGCATGCAGCTCGCCTTGTCCTGAGGAGCTGGTGTCGATTCCAGAGCCGGCCAGAAGGGGCGCCCTGCACCTGGAGAGATCCTGGGTCGGCGTCTCCTCCCATCATTACCTCTCTTGGCGGGTAGGGGTGCATGCGTAGCTCAGCAGGTTAGTGAAAATCCCGATGAGTCGGATTGGATTTTTTTTTTTTTTTTTGGTGGTGGTGGTACTGGGAATTGAACCCGGAGTTTTCACCCTGAGCTACATCCCAGCTCTTTTGTGTTTTTTATTTTGAGACAGGGTCTCAATAAGTTGGTAAATCGCCCAGGCTGTGTTTGACCTGTGATTCTCCTGCCTCAGCCTCCTAGTGTGCTAGGATTACTGATGTGCACCACGGCGCCCAACAGAATTTTATTTGTGGTGCTGGGATTGAGCTAAGGGCCTTAAACACGCTAAGCAAGTGTTCTGCCACTAAAGCACACCCACAGCCCTGATTTCTTTGTAAATTTTACTTATTTATTTACTTTCGTTTTTTGTTGAACATAATTGACAAAGTCAATATTTAAGGTGTTCAACATTACGTTTTGAGATACATAAACATTTCGAAGTGACTTCTACAACCAAGCTGTTCAGTGCTTTGTGTACTTATAGTGATTCTTTTTTTTTTTTTTTTTTTGTACTGGGGATCAAACTCGGGTCCCTGCACTTGTGAGGCAGGCAGCAGCACCACTGAGCTGAACCCCTGGCCCCTTATAGCACAAACCAAAAAATACTCTTAAATGAAGAGAAAAATATGCTCAGTGCCCCCACCCAGGCAGGTTAAGAGAACACCGTTCTAGATGGGCTCTTGATATTGCCACACATGACTGCGTTTTCCAAATAAAATCTGGTGGAGCCTTATGCACTCTTGTAACCTGTCTCGCATGACGGAGGGCAGCAGACACCTCAGTACATTCATGATCTCTTATATCTGATCTCAGCCAAAAGGCCAAGAAGCGGTGGTTGTGACCTTTTAAGGATGTAATTACTAACTTTCTCCATCCCCCTGCTTCCCTCCCTTTTGTCTATCATTAGCCTCCCTCTGATTTTCAAGTCACCTATTTATTTACTTACTTGTTTTTTTGTGTAGTTGAGGCTGACCTGGAACTCACTGTGTAGCCCAGGCCGGTCTCGAACTCACAGCGATCCTCCTGCCTCGGCCTCCCGAGTGCTGGGATTACAGGCGTGTGTCACCACGCCTGGCTTCAGGTCACCTATTTAGGGCCCGCATGTTAGGGAAGGCATTCCAGCCACATCTGGCCTCCTGCAGATCAGTGATTTCTGGGGAGAAAGCTCCAGGGCAGTTTTCCTAGTCCAAGCGACTTTCCATACCTTTGGCCTTCACATTCACCTGCCATCCCTCACTCTGCTCATCAAAACCAAGGACGAAGGACGTTGTGCACAGCCACACCTGCAGGCTGTCAGCAGCTGTAATGCTCAGCGTGTGAGGTATCGGAAAGCACAGCGGAGCTGCTGGGCCCTCTATCTTTTTTTTTTTTTTTAATTTTTTTGGTACTGGGGATTCAACTCGGGTCCTTGTGCTTGCAAGGCAGGTGGCAGAACCACTGAGCTATATTCCTGGCCCTCCTCTGGAAGATGCTTTTGTCAGGAAGATGCTTGCAATGTGGTCATTTCTATCAGATGAAGCCAGTAGCCTTCAGTAGTTATTTCAGCCACCAGGTTCAGAGGCAGCATTATTTTAAACTTGGAAACTTGACAGAAGCAATACCACCAGCCACATGTGGTGGCACTTGCTTCTAATCCCAGCGATTGGGAGGCTGAGACAGGAGGACCTTTGAGAGTTTGTGGCCAGAAAGACCCTGTCTTATTAAACAAAAAACAAACAAGAAAAGAGGTCCCGCCACATGTCCATCTACTCAAGCCCTCGAGGGGACTCACCAGTTGAAATTTTGGGATGGTTTAGATGAAGCTGCAACTTTTTATCAAACAGCATGAAGAACCCTCCATGAGAGCCGCCATGTTGCTAGCCTGACATTCCCCCGCCTTGTTCTCGGAATAGACGCAAATTCAGCACACCGTGGCAGTTTCTGGAACAGTTATCTCCTCTGGCAAAAACAGTTTGTTCTCTTAAGTGGCTGGTACACTTCTTCCTACTATCTTGTTGATATCATGATTGCTCGTGTTCTCCAGACAATCAGAACACACAAGATACTTGTGTGTGTGAACATGTGCGTGTGTGTCTGTAGGGAGGCTGACGTGGGGAGGGAAGGGGAAGTTTGTTTTAAGGAACTAGTCCAGTGATTGGGGGCGCTGGAGATTTGAGTTGGGCAGGGCAAGGCAGGGCAGTAGCCTGCAAACTCAGGCGGGGTTTTTATGTTACAGCCCTGAGAAGAACTCTTTTTCCTGTAGGAATCTGTAAATTTTGCTCTTAGGACCTTCTTCCACTGATTAGATGAGGCCCACCCTGGGTACTGGGGGTTATCTGGTCTGTTCAGAGTCTCCTGATGCTAACTGTACCCCTCAAAATGGCTTCACAGGACATCCAGACTGGTGTTTGACCAAACAAATGTGGCACACATGCACACACACATGCACACACACGGTCACTTTGCTCTGTGGGTGCTTTCCTGCCTTCCCGGATGGAGCTGAGCTCGCTCCTTGGTTTCTTTCCCTCTGTGGCCGCAGTGTGCACCCGCCCCGCCCACCCGTCCAGAGGGGCGGCGCTCACCCTCCTCTCTCCTCAGAGGTGCTGCTGCGGATGCACTCGGTCGGCATCTGCGGCTCTGACGTCCACTACTGGCAGCACGGCCGCATCGGGGACTTCATCGTGAAGAAGCCCATGGTGCTGGGGCACGAGGCTTCGGGGACCGTCGTGAAAGTGGGGTCGTCGGTGAAGCACCTGAAGCCAGGTGAGCAGAGCTCTGCGCGAACCGGCAGTGCGCGTGCACTCACTCGGGAGGCCTCGCTGGGCCCGGGGGCCGCAGTGCACAGGACGGGCTTGGGGACAGGCCAGCAGGTGTGCGGCCAGCGGCTCCCCAGGAGAGGGACAGCGTCGCTCCCTGACAGCCGTGGAGGGACAGGAAGTGATCAGGCACCAAAGACACAAACCATGTCCGTGTGCTGAGAACCAAGGCCTTAGATACAGCCTTTGATTATGGGTGGCTGGGAAACCTGTGCTGCTCCCATATCGGCTGGCTTCGTTTTCCCAGGGAGTGTGCTTGGCTTTGGCAGACTGTGCTGTTCCCGGGCGCAGCGAGGTACCTGGGCCGTCTAGGCACAGCCGGTTGCTGGCTCTGGCTTTGCTCTTGGAATGAGGTCACAGATGGCCTGGAGGTGACGTTGGATGGGAAGGAGGTGGGATCCCAGGGCTCTGCCACCACCAGAGGTTCAGAGCTTTCAGTGACTACCAGCGACTGGTTCTCACTTGGGGGCTCAGTTGCTAGGTATAAATGACAACAGAGTGGGGTTCTCAAAGTGCAAGCCCTCCTCAGTGTGGCGTCAGTCTCGTGCCAGGTGCTTTGAGAGCTGTAAAACATTAAGATACCCCTGGACACTTAGGTCTGGTTGGGGAGAAACAGGCCCATTTTGTGCAGGCCCTTGAAGGTCGAAGAGTGGACACTGGCCACGAGGCGAGGGGTTCCAGAGGGTTGGTGGATGAGGCAGTTGTTGGAGTCAGCGTGTGACAATACCAAGAAGGCACAGAAGTAGAAGGCTGGTGTCCACTGATCTGCTATTCATCCATCTCCAGGTTAATCGCGTCCATGTATAATTAGAATTTCACTGTCCAAGCAGCTCTACGGACAGGTCTCACTACCTTCCTTACTGGCTGAGACGTTCGGAGCTGGGTTTCACCGAGGTCACGTGCCGGTCGGGTCACTGCTGGAGGGCCGGCCCTGCTCCCGGCGGCTCTGGTCAGTTCTGAGGTCCTCTTTCCCGAGTGGCTGCCTCCGTGTCCCGAATCAGTTCCGCTCGTTTCCCTCTTGTGGCCACTGTGACTCTGGGGAAGAGCCGGAGGTCGCACCGTGCCAGATCCTGTGGGTAGGGTGGATGAGGGCACCGTGGTGCCTTGTGAGCTGCCTTCCCCTGGACAGCAGCACTCAGCAGCAGCACGCACCGTATTGGTGATCGTAGCTCGTAAAGACAGGCCTGAAAGGATTTGCAGACCTGCTGCAGAAAGTGGTGAAGACAGTGGGATGAGTGTGTTCAACGCGGAGGTGAGTATTATTGGGGGCATTCACGGCAACGTGTCCTTTTTAGTGTGATGAACTCTACCATTTGAAGCACCCCGTATGGTTCCATCCCGCCACATGGGCCGGCCTGTGGTTAGCAGTGCAGAGGGAGCTGGAATCCAGATTCCTGCGGGGCTGCTCTGCTTCCCACAAGCATGGAGCTCGAGACTGTGCAGGCATGAGCAGCTCCTGGGGGGACCTTAGCTGCCCCCGCCCAGGGACGCTGCCCCTATGTCCCCACCTTCTCTTCTCCACAGGAAAGGGGTGCTTTGCCTTCACCAATGCCTCTAACGCCTCATGTTCCAGGGGAGATGTTCGTCATGACACCTGTGTCTCGTGGTTTCCCTTCTCCCTGATTTACAGCTTTTACGTTTAGCAATAAAAATGTGTCTAGCACAGTTTTTATTATGTGGAAATAAATGTGGAGCGGACATCTCATCTCAACAGACTCCCAGCCCAGATGAGGAGGCAAGAAATTCACAAAAACACCCAGAAGAGCCGGGCACGGTGGCCCACACCTGTAATCCCAGCACTTGAGAAACTGAGGCAGGAGGATCTCGGAGAGTTTGAGACCAGCCTGGGCTACATAGTGAGTTCACAGACAGCCTGGACATTGTATTGAAAAGCAACAAACAAACCACAACAGAAGGCTGGAAACCACTTGCTGACTAGCAGGATGATGGTTAAGCTATCTGTGGTGAACTCACAGAGGATCGTCATTCGGCCACAAAACGGAGCAAACTGTGGGTAACACAGCAACTTAGATCATCTGAGAAGCATTAGCTGATTGAAGGGGTGAAAAGGAGTATACACTGGTGACCCCATTTCTGTGCTGCTCTGGAGCAGGCTGTACTAATCCATGGTGGATAAAATCAATCTATTGGTTGCTCTGGGGTGGGGTGGGGATGCCTGGGGAGGGACCGGAAGAGTGAGATTTCTGAGGCAGTGGTAGTGTTTTGTGTCTTGTTGATGGAGATTTTTATGACACAGGTGAATTTATTTATAAAAATTAATCTAATGATCCACTTAATACATTCCATTATATCTACATTTTAATTTTGAAAAGAACAGGTAAATATTGGACTGTACTAAATAGACATGCAGGCTGAAGTTTTGTTTTGTTTCACTATATCCAGGCTGGCCTTGAACCTGCCACGTAGCCCAGGCTGGCCTCAAACGCACAGTTCTCCTGCTTCAGCCTCCCAGCTGCTGTGGGCTGAAGTCTTTAGGGTGAAATGTGTCACAGTCCACCTCCTACTTTGAAAAACATTAGACACAGAGAGGGACGGATGGCAGGGAGAGGGCCGTTGGGTGGACACAATACCGCGAGTGGGGCCTGGTGTTCCTTGAAGAATCTGGGGGCTCCCTGAACAACTGTTCGGGCTTCGGTGTGTGTCTGAAATTCTTCATAATAAAAAGAGTAAAAACAATTAAAGAGCGATTCTAGGGCTGGACTTCCACAAAGGGCAGAGTGGGACAGAGAGCCTTGCTCTCCACCGCACCAGTCTGACCCTCGGCAGGACCTTGGCCTTGGTGGTTCTGCTAAGCAGCAATCCCTTGACTCCCAGGTGGTTGTCTAACTGCAAATAGGATGAACCCAGAACACATCATGTTACAGCTCTTGTCTTTATAATGATCTTGCCCTATATTTTCTTCCTTTCTTTTTCTTTTTCTTTTTGAGACAACTTCGTGCTCGGTAGTTCAGGTTGATCAGGACCTCACTGAGTAGCTCAGGTTGGCCTCAAATTCCTGACGATCCTCCTGCCTCAGCCTCCCAATTGTTGGGATTACAGGTGTGCACTATCACGGCAGGCTCTCCATGCCCCGCACTTTTATTTTTATTTTTTCATTGAGTTTATTGGTACTTTTTAAATAGACAGTGCAGTTACATTTATTATTGGGATTGTGTACCTTTACATGCCAGGTCTTGGTTCTCATTTTTTATCCCTGCTCTCTCTTTACCCCTCCTCCCTCCCCTATTTGCCCCATGCTTTTGAAGTAGGTGAAGAAAAAAAATGCCTGCATCCCCGTGCTCCAGCTGCCGCTTTGGCCGAAACTTGAGATGAAGGCTGACCGGCCTGGCCTAACACAGGGCCGCGCATGTGTCGCCCAGGCCGGGCAGGGGCGGGGAGCCGCAGGCGCGAGCACAGGGCAGGCGCAGGGTGCCTAGTGCGGGCGATGCGCATGCGTGAGGCTGGTTGCCTCGGACGTCTCCCCCTCTGCTCCCGCTTCAAAGGCCGGAGCCAGAGTCAGATCTCAGGGTTGGGCTCTGCCCGGCCTTGAACACCGGGCCTCTTTGCTTCCCTCCAGGTGACCGGGTCGCCATCGAGCCGGGGGCCCCCCGAGAAACCGACGAATTCTGCAAGGTGGGACGGTACAATCTGTCCCCGACCATCTTCTTCTGTGCCACGCCCCCCGACGACGGGAGCCTCTGCCGCTTCTACAAGCACAACGCCAGCTTCTGCTACAAGTGGGTGCTGCCTCTTCCCGGGCCTTCGGGGGCCTTCTAGTCTCCCATGGGGATTTATTATTTCGGTCCCTAATTCTTTTGGTGGTGTTGTTGAGACAGGGTCTCACTATGTAGTTCAGGCTGGCACTGAACTCTTTGTAGCCCAGGCTGGCCTTGACTCACTGCGATCTTCCTGCCTCAGCCTCCTGAGTGCTGCAATTGCGTTCCCGCACCACCAAACACGGCTTTTTTTGTGTGTTCTTGTGCTCAGGAGAAGTCAGGGGTGTGGGGGATGAGACCTCAGAGTCACCCCAGGCCCCTCGGGAAGCCCAGCTATGCAGGGCAGTGGCTGAAAGGAGTGGGCTGGAGCGGAGGGGATGCAGAGGGGAGGCCGCGGAGGCCATTGCCGCGGGCTGTGCAGTGGCGCCCTCGGAGGAGCTTTCCCCGGTGGGGCAGCCGAACCACACCTTACCCTGATAACGAGGCGCGGGTACAGAGTGCATGCCTAGCTTGTGCGCAGTCCTGGGTTCGAGTCCTGGCACCACAGGAAACAAAAAAAGAAACCGTGGCGCCCCCTGCAGTGGCAGCCCAGAGGTGGCTCCGCAGCAGCGCCGCCCACGGGCCTGGCCTGTCCTGCGTCCCGCCAACCGCGTGCGACCCCGCAGGCTTCCTGATGGCATCACCTTCGAGGAAGGGGCCCTGATCGAGCCGCTCTCCGTGGGGATTCACGCCTGCCGGCGGGGCGGAGTCTCCCTGGGGAACAAGGTCTTCGTGTGCGGAGCTGGTAAGCGGGGCCCGGGTTATGAATGGGTCACTGCCTGGGCCTTCGGGTCCCCTCGCCTCCCATCCCGCCCAGGCCTGGTGTGGCCCTCCAGAGCCAGCACCCGGACAACAGAACCCTCTGTGCACTTGCGAACCTTCTGGCAGTGTTTGGAGCCCTTGGCAGGAACTGGCAGCAAAGGCAGGGAGACCGGGAAATTCCTAGTCTCACCCAGAGGAGGGGCCTGGCCACTCCCGCACTGCACCACCTGGGCTTTTAATCTGCATCACCCAGACGGCAACATGCCCGGGGGTGTCTGGGGTGTGTCAGGCACGTGGCACACCAGTGTCACCACAGTGTGGCCCGAGGCAGACATGGGGTGGGGAGCAGGTGTCCTTGGACGAGCTTGTGGGCACTTGAGGGCTTCCTAAGCGGGCTGAAGGGGCAGACCTTGACTCTGTGGCCAGCAGACTGCAGAACAGGGTCCAACTGTCGCAAAAATCTGCACAAACAGCACCTTTCTGTCAGAAAAGACAGTGTCATACACCTCTGCTCACCGGAAACAAGAGGCCTCACCACCGCAGCCCAGCCGAGAGCTACTGTTAATGTGCTGCTCCAGAAGGAGACTGCTTTAAAGGAGACTAAATACCATTTATCTCACCTATTCTCTTTATTTTTTTACTTTTTGAAGAATATCAGTGTTCTGTGAATATTTTGCTATGCTAACAGATACAGCTAAGAATCACTTTTAGTAGCTGTGCAGTGTCCCATTGTAATGTATATAACTAGTCACCCTTTGTTGGACATATCATGTACTATATCCCAGTACTTTTGCTTACAACGTTGCTTTTAAAGGGTGTGTACAAAGAGTGAAACTAAAAGACCTTTCTTTTTTCTTTTCCTGCTTTCCTGGGGAGCAAACCCAGGGCCGTGGGTACATTAGTCAGGCTCTGTACTGTTGAGCTTCATCCCAGCCCTTTCAAGATTTTTACTTTGAGATAGAGTCTTATTAAGTTGCCAAGGCTGCCCTCAGGCTTGTGAGCCTCCTGCTTTGGCCTCCTGAAAAATACTCCTCATTGCCCCATTATGTGGATCTGGGTTTTCTGGTAAAGCCTTGCAGGTACTGATGGCTGCACAAGAGGCATGGTGAGGTTGCGCACTGCACAAACACCTTCTGTCTTCTGTTTGTTCAGGGCCAGTCGGGCTGGTGACCTTGATCGTGGCCAAAGCAATGGGCGCAGCGGCAGTGGTGGTGACTGGTAAGAAGGTCCTCACCTTGAGGGGAACAGGGCCAAGAGAGCCATTCCCTGCCTCTGTGGGTCTGTTTTCTGTTGTTGTCACAAATTGCCAGAGGCAGGAGATTTTAAGACAAGAGGTTCATCCAGGTCACCTTTCTAGAGGTGAAAGTCAGGACTGGGTGGCCCCATTGGTTTGGGAGCAGCTGTGGGCTGTGGCAGTAGTGTCTGAGTGGCAGGGGCTTGGGCAGAGGAGACTATGTGGGAAGGCCGGAGGCACAGAGACTCGGGAGAACCAAGTCACTCTGCAGGAAGGGCATGCATCGCTTCTGAGGACAATGCTCCCTGGCCCCAGGCCCCCACCTCAAAACTGCCACCCTAGAGACCAGGATGGGAACCTTTAGGGGACAAACCACTTCGAGGCTGCAGCACTTTCTGAGAGCCTGGGTTTCTTTTTTGAGACAAAGAATCACTATGCAGTTCAGGCTGGCCTTGAACTCACAGCGATCCTCCTGCCTCAGCCTCCTGAGTGTGGGGTGACAGGTGTGCGCCATCATGGTCAGTTGAACCATGGGGTTCTAAAGGGCTCCCCCTTATCCCGTTATCCTGTTGATAGTATTGAAAAGTTCGTTCACGGGTGACCCACTTGGGACTTGGAATGAAGCAGTGGTCCTTTTTACTTGGACCCCACCCCGGGAGGAGGCCCAGCTCAGGAGGGCACGTGAGCGGGAATTGCGCATGTGCAGCTGCGCTGGGAGGCTGAGCGCAGGGAGCTGGTGCAGTGAACCCTGAGATCCTGTGCCCCAAGGTGGGTGCAGAGAAAGAAAGCTGCACCCTCATTTTCTTTTCTTCCTGATCCATCATCTGGTTCCTCGGTTTGAAAGAAACTGTCTCACCTCTAGATCTGTCTACCTCTCGGCTGTCCAAAGCCAAGGAAGTGGGGGCGGACTTCATCCTGCAGATCTCCCAGGAGAGCCCCCAGGAAATCGCCAGCAAGGTGGAAGGGCTGCTGGGGTGCAAGCCGGAGGTCACCATTGAGTGCACCGGGGCGGAGAGTGCCATCCAGGCAGGCATCTACGTGAGTGGCCAAAGGGGTGGAGGGCGCCCAGGAGAGCTCCTGGCCCCTCCCTGTGTCGCCCTGAAGTGTCACCCTGAAGTGTCAGGCGGATGCCTGAGCACAGCCCTGAGGAGTGGCGTGGCCCACACCTTCAGGGTGGGGTGGCTTTGGAGATGCTGTCTGTGACTGTGACTGAAAGTCGGGCATCTGGTGAAGCGCTCAGCAAGAGGAACCGGGAACCAGGACTTGGGGAGTGAGGGGAACCCCTGTGGGATTTTATGGAGAAAAAGTTGATACAGAGTGACAGCCGCTAACTCGGTTAGTCACAAATGGGAGGTGACTCTTCAGGGCCACGCTAGGCCACTGCTGTGCCTTCTCCCAGAGCGAGGCCCAGATAAGCCGCCCGCCCCTGCCATCCTGGCCCTCCGGTGCCACCCCTCAGGCTACTTATGGGAAGTGGACAGGGCCTGGGGTGGGGCCAGGTGTGGCATCCTCAAATCCAAGTACAGGAAAAGAGGAGAAAAGAATGACTGTGGGTGCCAGGCCCACCTTGGGGGACTCCACTCGGCAGAGCGGTCCCTGCAGGGGCCTGGGGCGGGGCTTCAGGTGCTCGCTATCAGTGGCTGAGTCAGGTTCCCGCCCAGCCCTGCCCACTCCCAGGACCACAGCACTTGTGAAGCACAGGTAGGGACACGCCACCATCACTGTCACCCTACAGGGCGTGCAGGGGCTTCCGCCTTCCTTCTGAGTCACAGCGGCTCAGACAGCGGGCCACCGGGCAGCACATGACACAGTCCTGCCAGCAGGGCATGGCCTCCTGGCCCTTCCCCACCCAGCATGGCTGGGGGAGCAGGGAGGAGAAGGTGCCCTGTGCTGTCAGCTGCTGTCCGCTGCTCACTGTCAGGGACCGTGGTCACCAGGTGGGAAATGCAGAGAGAAACTGAGCCTCCGGGACCAAGGGTCTGTGATGTCCTTGCGGGTGTTCTGGGCCTCTGCTGGGTGCCAGGCTTTGTACAAGGCACCTTGAGGCTATGACAAGAAGTTGGCCGTGTCCCTCTTGTCTTGCTGTTGGTTGTCATGTGATCCACGCTCCACAGAGGCTGAGGGACCTGGAGGACCCGGCTTCCTCTTCCTTCATCTTGCCCTGAGTGCATTTAGGAGCAGATGTCATTTCCTGAAGGGGTTGGGACGTGGCCCTGGTACCTGAGGGAAGTGTGGGGCTGACTATGACCCAGGGCTGTGGGGAGTGGAGCCGCTGGGCAGTTCCGGCAGCGACACCCAATGAGGACAGGTGAGAGCGTCGCTCTTCTGCCTAGTGATGACCAGTGGTGTTGGGCAGGCCCCATGGCAGACTCCACACTCAGAGGAAACTGATGTCACCTCCTTGGTGCGGAGATGTCACCGAGGAGCAGGTCCAGGCCATCCGAGCCTCTCCTGGCCCAAGGTCTGCACGGCCTGGGCACTCGTGGTGGCCAGCAGGTGGCAGGACCCCTCGTCACCAGGCAGAGGAGCTTCAGGGGCCAAAGGCTTTTCTCAGAACCTTTCACTCACAGTGTCAGCCCCTCTTCCCCATCTCCCAGTGAGGACTGTGACATCTTTCAGTTGTACTGCTGTTCCTGGATGGTTTGCCACTCAGTCTGCACTGCAGTAAAACATAAAACAGTTGCATGTGGAGCCTGGTGGCTGTCACCTGAGAGCCCTGGCTGAGAGGGAAGCCAGGGCCCAGTGCTGCACACCAGGCTGGTCCTCTCCCCGTCCAGCCCTGAGCTCTGGTGCCTGCTCCTGGTGTCACCTTCTCCTCAGGGACATGAGCTGGGCCACGTGCCCTTTTCCAGCTCCCCATTTAGATCATACAGTGTCCCCGCCCATGCGGTCACTTGTGTCCACCTGCAGTCACCTGGAATTCTGCCACCTGTGGCCACTCCAAGCTGAGGTCACTGGAGCCTATAACTCCATGTTCTTAGCAGAGCACTGGTTTTCCAGATAAATATTCAAACACGACGCTTTCACTGTAGTAGGGTTGTATCCCAGGGATGAACACCTGGGACAGCCTGCATGCACGCAGCCATTATTAAACCACAGAATTCTAAAAGTTCAGCCGGGCGTCGTGGCGCACCCCTGTAATCCCTGCAGTTTGGAGGCTGAGGCAGGAGGATCGCTGTGAGTTCAAGGCCAGCCTAGGCTATGTATTTAGACCTTGTCTCAAACCAAAGGAAAAAAAAAAAAAAAAAAA